GAATCCAAGATGCCACACAGTGGTTAGGCTAATTGCATCATCACTATCCACTCGCTTCGCGTGTGCACCTCTGTCGATCCACAGGCTGCTACCGCCGAATGTGAAGGGTTTGGTATGGGTTCTGGCTACACACTCGTCCGAAGTTTTCTCTCCGCTTTTTAGAGAGTTGCGTAGAAGTGGCATAGGGGTGGCCTGTAGATTTCTAACTTACCTTAACAGAACAATCTTCCGCACTACCAAAAGATGTCCATTCGCACTCGAGCGAGACCTCCATATCTTTTTACAATGTCGGAAGTTTCGCTCGTGGTAGGGCACTGCCAGCTCCACTCAAGGATTGGAAATCAGACAGAATAATCGCCAGTAAAACAGCATGCGCGCCAATCGCACAACCTGGTGGACATAGGAGGCCAAGGAAATCGGATAGCTGAAGAATACCAAAGGATTATTTCGGTTGATACGCACGGCCAGTTCTCGAAAGCCGTCTGTGACAGACCTTATCAAGGAGCCAACTGATGCAACCGCCTCGAACACTGGGTCGAGCACTTTGAACAACAGGTCATCTTCTGCCGTTCTGTCGGACTTTCGAGCTTCAGTATAATCCTGAAGGTTAAACCTGGAATCTTCTGCGGCCAAGGAGATTAGTGAAATCGTATGAGCTATTGAGTGCTACCGAGCTCCCGGTTCGGATGACTCACCACCGCATTTTTCCAGGAAGGTGATGTTTTACTCACTCAGCGTTCTTCTGATCTATTTACCTCAGCTTTGGAAAAGGACCGTCAGAGATGACTGGGGATGATGGGCAATAACACCCGTGAAAGAGAAAGTGGGTGAATGGGTTAATCATACAGGAGCAACTTTCAATCCCATCACAGCTGGACTATGGATTTCACTTTTCATTCACCGCCTTATTGTGACCCGTGGAGTAATACCTCGAGAGTAAAAACGCAGTATCGTTCTGGTATAAGTTTCCTTTGTGAAATTTTTACTCTTCAACGGGTGTCACAACAATGACATGTCTATAGGCGACCCAAAGTTTTGGTATTCCTGGATTTACAGGGCTCACTTGACTCAGTTGATTGGCCTGTTCTCCCTAAAATGCTTGCTCAGCAGGTAATGCTCCATAAGTTTATCACTATTATATGTTTGCCACATTCTCAGGTTTGTGGCACGCGGATATTTATAGGGAGCTCTGCAAAAGCTTAGTACACAAGTGGTTCCTGAAATGGACACCAACTTTTTATTCAATTTGGTGATGGAAGATACAATAGAGAAGAAAGCTAGATAATCTCAAGACACGGCTTCAGATAGCTGCTGGTGAAAACTGTGTCAACCACTCTTTTATTCGAAAAATTTAGGTGTTATTGAGTGAACTGACGAAGGTCATTCCTTCCTTTGGCATGTAGTTGCTACCACAAACAGTAAGGTCATGCTACTGGATATGCGACAGGTCAATTACAATTCAAGGAGAGTTACTGGAGGTTGACGCTGAGTGCACCAAAAATCCCCACGATCCAATTTGGCAATTAGCCAAGGTGATTTCATCATGAGAAAAATGAGCCAAGTTTCCACCTAGTTGTTCGTGAGCATTCGGACAGAATACGTCCAAAGTTTTCAATATCAGCCGAAGTTGAGTTACCGAACGTTGCAAGCGAAAAACCGCGAAGGACATGATGACTCAGCGGTAGACATTGGGCTAGGAAAGCTTTCAAGACAAATCGATATGTCGCACACATGCTAAAAGCCTTGGCAGAAAAAAAATACATTTTTCTTAGATCTACACCCGAAATTCCACAAAAAAGGATTTTAATCTTTTTAATTTTGACTTGAACTGCGATTATTCGTGGTTATTGCTTGGTTAAAAGTGGGTTTCACGGTAGCGCGAACGTGTTATCTCCGCAGTGTATTGAGCAAATTTTCTGGAAGGAACTTCCTCTCTGCACAGAACACTTGTGTATACCTTGCCTGAATAAATTGTGGATGTCGATCAGCATATTTACGTTTTTTTTGTCGATTTTCAGCGCTTCTTTATTATTTACCGAGTGACGCAACTGGCGTACCGGTTGCTGTTTGCGTTGCGTTGAGGTGTGATTCGTCGCGTGCCGACTTTTGATTGGTGCAAAACCAACTGGTCTGAGAACCATTTCCGTAAATACCCGATGAAGTGCGTATCAAATACTCCTCAGAACCCGCTGGAACGAGAAACCCTCTTTTTGAAGCACCTAAGAAACGCCACGGATGTCAAAATGTCAGACAATAACGATGAACTACTTGAGGTACTTCAGTAGCTGAAAGAGGCTATCGATTTGAACCTCAATTTTTGTACGTGATATCGGCTGTCCCTGATTTTTTCACACAGTCATCTTAGCACCAACTTTGGCAATGTGGGTGATGTTAATGTTAATGGAAGCGTTCACACGGCAGTGACCAAAATTTAATTTTTTTGTTGGCGTTACTGAGTTGCGTAAATCCGCCGGTCTCCAGCTCAATCACACAAAGTGTAAACTTGATTGCGGCTCATAAATTTTCGGAGAAACACGAGTACGCCAAACTTATGGTTGCTGACGATGGTTTTGGTGGTGTTCCTGGTGTATTATTCTGTGGTGGCGATGTCAACTTCCATGTGGACAATTACTATGATGTCATCTTATTCCATATTTCTGATCGTCCTATCACTTCCGGTACATTGGACATTAGAGTCAACCTACAGCAACCTACAGCAAAGACAATCAACCTCAGTCTCACTGAAATGAAGACACAATCGGGGTAAATACCGAGCGAATGAAGGATGGATGTAAATTACTGCCGTCCCTAGTGTTTAGATGCGTACCTGTTTAGGTCACCCAACCTCGTAAACTTCACCGAGTGTCCTTTAGTGGCTTGTATAGTGGGGTGCTTCTACACCCATTTATTTAACTTTTGACACATGCATCCGTGTCCGGTAATTTTCAATAAGGATTCACTTTAGATATTACAGTTTATGCATGTGATGGTTTTTTGCGGGAGGTTTATTGTTCAGTCTCACATCACTCTCGTTTTGAACAGCATGTCAAGTGTCCGGAGTTCAAACCCCGGCACGGCCATTGGATATGCACTGCTGATGAGCTCTAACAAGAGCGAAACTCGAGTCCAGTGCTTCCCCCCCTTTGGTGTGGATTCACATGAATAATTGCGCCAGGACAGGAGGACGACTGTTCAAAACGAGAGTGATGTGAGACTGAACAATATTACAGTTTGTAACGATTTTTTCTGCATTAGAATGAAGCGCTGCATTGCCTTATGGCGAAAGAATCAGAGGCTAATATCTAAAGAATTTGAAAAGGAATCTGACAAAAAGGAGCAAGGCAGTTGGGATGAACGTAACGAGTCTCCGCAGCAAAACTGCCATAGTTTCGGATAGACTGATGTGCGTTTGAATCAAGGATCGGTGAAATGAGGTGTTCTGCCTAATTCACGGAAACTTATGCACACATGAGTGCTGAGGCGGAGTCAAAAGCAACCGCTTCATGTATTACCCTCAGTTTCTCCCTCATTAATGTGAAATGATAGGCAGCCGATCACTGGGGTATGGCTATGGGCAAGTGACCTGAGTTCTCAGGACGTACGGCCTCGAAATCGTGGCCCAAACGACACAAAAGTAGAGAAACGATTGACTGGTTCGAAGGGGGTGAGGCTGCACGCAATACATCCACGATTCACTAATGAATTTAACAAACGTGTGAGTTTGAAAACATCGGCCAGTTATATTTGTGGTTACTTCTTGATGGTAAATAAATTACGCCATATATTTCGAACAACGAACTCGGTGGACAATGAGCCACAAATTTAGAAGCAAACCGGGTCAATGAGTCATGGGATGGTGGGTGCCGAAAGTCCGTTCTTCAGAATGGGTTTGAGATAGGGTCGGTAACTGTTGATACTGCCCCTTGTTTTTTATTCATCAGGCTGTGCGCTGAATCAACATCTGTCGCCATGCTGTTGGTGGAATGGAGACTCAAATTACCATACGGGTGCGGGAACAGTACGGCTATTACACTGGCCTCATAAACCCTGATACCGAAGTTTGCCATCGCTATAATTGGGTCAAAAAGCGCAGGTTACGCTAGCTGCCGAAACAGCAGGTGATTCGGTGCCAATACGATAGCCTAGTAATGACTGAATTGACGGTGACTGATGGTGTTTTGGCTCTTCCGGAGCCTCACTGTATGCATCTGGTTCTACTTACAACCAACAGAAATTAAAATCATGTACATATCTCAACAGAATCGTTTTGTAAGACTCGCACTGCATTTTTGCTAACCAGGTGTAGGAAATTTAGAAGGATCAATATTGTTGTAATCAACTCATCAACGGCTTCTAATGGAATTAAAAGTATCTATACAGTAAAAGTCATTGACCTTGGGCCGGTTGGCATTGAAAGATATGTGCCTGAATATCAGAATTGAAGGAGAGGATGTAAACCTGTCACCATAAACTTAGTGCTTGGAAGATCATGAACGGTTTGTGAACTGCCGTAGAAACACTGACGAAAAATCTAGCGAAAAAATTCCAGTTAAGCGGCAAGACGATAAAATAATATCTAGTAAAGATCGGCTGAGGCATATTGTGGGCCTACCCCACTAAACAAAAAGAACCGAAACACTATGCGGCGCTATCGGACGAAGGCAGTTATTCGGTACTATCACTTATAGGGGACGATCAGGGAACTTTCAAAAGAATGTTCAACCCACTGCTATGTGTGCTAAAATGGATGTGCGCCAGGGTCTTTTAGAACTAGCTAAGCCACGGAGGATCTCTCGCGCCCTATTTTTATGCCATTCTAATCTACTTGGCTTTTGAAAGACATTGATGTCACGTGGGGATGTCTGGACTATCTAGCGGTCTGATTCACGCATTTATTGATCCACTGGTTCATTTGAACGCCGAACCTCATGCACGGCACTCGGAACGGTGCTCCCAAACGACTGCGAAATATGGTATGTTTTATCTTCCCCTGCTAAAAAATGGAACCAGAGGAAGAAGTGACCGGAAAGGCTAGGAGGTTTGTTTTGGGTTCAACATTGATGCGAGATGCTTGTGTTTCACGTCTGGAAATTGATTACAAGCGGGATCTGGAGTCTGTGAAGAAGTATGAGTTGTTTTATCGAAAATTCGGCGTGGCATTATACTACTTCTTTACTCTGGTGAACCTGTTTACTATTATTCTGGAGTACCCAGCGTCAATCTTGGTCAATGGGAAGCCCTTGCCGTACTACGTTCCATTGATAATCAATTTTATTTGTGAGGCTTACTTCTACTATCGCTGGTTTCTCATTTACAGCATGTCAGAAAAAGGAGGCCTTCGTGATAATCTGTCATCCAAAATGACCATATCAATACTGGTACTAATGAGTCTTGATGCCATTATCTTTATTATATGTCAACAACTTAAGATTCCGTTTGCTATTCGGTGGTCTCGCTTTCTTAGACCCATATTATTGCTCACATTTCCGGAAAATCGTCGTCTCCGTGCGGCATTTTCCAGCTTACGTAGTACCGCTATAGACGTGTTTCCCGTATTCGGCCTCTTCATGTGCACGGTGGCGTTTGCCGCTATTGTTGCTCTGACGACAATCTCCGGAACTGGTGTGACGTATCCTAACGGAAAACCGTATTTTTACGATTTCCCCGAAGCTTACTGGGATTTATACGTACTCACAACGACTGCTAATTCACCAGACGTGATCATTCCGGCTTACGAATATAGTAGGATATACATATCAGTATATGTTTTTGTATGCACCGTATGTAACTGGTTGTTTATGGGTATTCTCACAGCTTCCGTATACAACTCCTACAAAGCTCATTTGGGTGAATTCGTTGTGAAAACTGTGGCCAAACGAAAACGAAAACTTGATGAGGCTTTCTACCACATTGCCACTCCAACACCAACTGGTGATCCAGGAGTGAGCCAAAAGACATTTCTACGTCTAATGCACATTGTTAAACCAAGGAGAAGTGAAGATTCAATGCGAGTGATATTTCATGTGCTTAATAAAAGTCGATCCGGTTACCTGAATATAAACGAATTTGGTCGGCTGTCGGAATACATGCAGGTGAAGCTGTTTGAAGTGGAACTGAGTCGTGAATACTTTCAAACTTATCTACCAAAATTCTACTATCTTTTTATGTCACCTCCGTTTCAACGGTTCAAACGCTTTGCCGAACATCGAGTGGTGAGGTCCTTTTTCATCAGTCTAGTCGTTGCCAATGGCCTGACAGCGGTCATGTGTCGCGGCTATGAATCGATTCAGGATGTCGTTGAGTGGTTCTTCACTATAATTTTTTTCCTCGAGTTGATAATGAACTACCTTGCTTGTGGTGGAGTGCGTTTCTTCAGTGACGGATGGAATATCTTCGATTGTCTGGTGGTAATGGGTGCAATGATTGGGCAGCTGTTGCAGTTGATTTTGGTCAATGTGGGTGTTCATATTCCAGCCGGAGTAACTCAATTGCTACTTTTGCTGCGACTGCTTCGTCTGCTGAAAGTATTCAGTGCCATACCCAATTTCAAAGTGGTCATAAACTGTATCCTGACTATACTACCATCCTTGGCCGCATACACCACGATGCTGCTTATTTTGTTCTACATCTACGCCTGTTTTGCAATGGAAATGTTCGCCTTTCTTTATAGACCACCGGAAGGACATAACTACACAGTGAATACTGATTGTGAAAACAAGAAGCTGCTCGACACGGAATTCGTGTCATGGCATTACTGTCTGTTCAATTTCAACAGCATCACGGAGTCATATGTTTTATTACTGGCTCTGGTGGTTGGGAATAACTGGCATGTATTTACAGATGGCCTGGTCATGGTGACCTCTCGCTGGACTCGCCTATTTTTCTTGCTTATTCACTGGAGCTGTGTTCTGTTAGTGTTAAACGTCGTGCTGGCTTTCATTATTGAGGCCTTCCTAATTGAGTTCGACGCTCAAAGAAGTAAGTTTGAGGCATATATAGTGGAACGCCTGGAGGAACTTGAAATGCACGCACCGACAGAACTAAAGAAAAAAGGGATTAAGGACTTTCGAAAACAAGGATTCCAGATCACTAGGACACAACTGGATATTGCTTTCCCACCGGATGGGTCGAGGGCCAAGGCGTTCTTCTTGGTCGAAGACAACGCATCCATCGAGATACTCATGTTCCGCATGTTCGAGACCGAAGTGGAAGAGATGATGGAAAATTATCGATCAAGCATAAAACAACAGCGTTTCAAAACACACGATACGCTTAGACAGTTTAGTTAGATGTTGCCATAGGAACAGTTGTGATTCCGCAACAAAAGATGAACATAAGCGCTTTGAAAAAGCTTAGGCTTACATTCTGCGCCTGAAATGCAATCACGTAGTCCAGTTTATTCGCTGTAACATACACTATTCTCAAAGAGAGTATAACATGTACAACTCCGTGTTCTGATCTGCCTAACAAATCGTACCAATGAGCACATACCGGATGATTACCAGAACTGATTGTGAAGATGGCAACCTTGAGAATTTGTTTAGCCCTGCGCGCTCTGATTGGTGCTGTTATTCCTTTGGAATTAGACTCATCAAGGAAAACCGGAGACAGAAATAGAAGTGAGCACAGTGATTCAACAGACTTTATTACGACAAGTCGAATAAAGCTTTGACTTTTAGGTCAGTAGTGCAAACTAAGAGCTTTTACAGGAAACAAGCAGAGAATAAACCAACCTAATGGTTGATCATAACCGATAGCCCATTGGCGATAGTGGTCGAGGATGAGCTCTACTGTGAGTTAGATTCGGCCCTACCATCATAACTCTTCATCCTACAGTTGGTCTTGTCCGAGGCTAACCAGGTAGCACGATAATTGACTGTTACTAGGTTGGTGGTGTAAGCTTTTCAGAAAATTTGGGGTGTCGTTGGTGCAGTCCGCCTTTCATTGTGTTTAGCTGCTAACCAACGTCACTGTCAGCTCTGTTTCAGACTGTCCAGTTGGATTTTGGAGATGTAGAACCCCAAGAATTCTTGCTGTAGGTTAGCGCCGGCTCCTTTCCTCGTCAACTTCTTCATTTTTCACAGTAAGTTGTTAAAGATAATGGAATAAACTTTGTGTGTGGCATAAAGCATCAGTGGTAACAGTGATACTGCTGTCTCTAATGGTAATAATGATGACCCCGATGATCGTAGCGAGTGCACGCATCAGACACAAGTAGGGCCCTATGCACCTAACCATCTTTTGATACTCCAATCTTAAAGGTCAATTTTCATCCAGTTACTAAACACCGAACATTGAATACATTGTTTTGAAATACAGACTATTATTCCTGTGGACTAATCTTTAGTAGTCAGTGGATGGGCAACCTTAACGTAGAAGTAACAAAGGTGACTGCACGGTAATTTCGGGAAGATACTTAATGGTCAGACAACACCTGTGCCAGGCGTAGTGATTCGGATCTTGTCCTTCAAGAATGGAGCATTTTACACTTATTCAGGGTTAACTTATGGCTGTCGGGAATGGATGTACCAACGCACCTATCATAGATCACGAAACTATACAGATCTTCTGACAAACTGAAAAGCTGTTCCAGAGAAGGTAGGTAAACACACAACATTAACTGTAATAAGAATGTTGGATACCTCTTTGGGTCAGAATAGGCCCACAAAAAGCAACCAGTTTTGTACGTTGCCTAAGAGGTGAGCCCCTGTGGAAATAAGACTATTACCAAAATAAAAGGTGGTTTCATACTCAAAAGTTCAACACGTGTTTCGCCGAGTCAAGCCAAAGTTAGTTAACCTAATGAAAGTCAGAGGAACTGTGTTCCAAAAGAAGCAAGTAGACTCCAGACTCTGTGAGTCACGTTGACTTGTATCAAACTTACTACCTACAGGTGGAAAGCAGACACGTCTGACTTGATTTAGTGGTCTCTTATTGGTGGCCGCCATAGGGTGTGACAAGTAGGATTTCTTCCTGGGCTGTTGTAACTAGCGGTGTTCCACAGGGTTTTATCCCGGTATTTGTTGATCAGCAGTCTTCCCTAGTTCAATCATTGCTGTTGTTTACTGGCTATTTGAATGACCCTCCAGGTATTAACACTACACAAGACAAGCTGGCATGACTGGATGCACGGTTCTGAGCAAATACGGTCCATCAGTCCAGGGAACTATGAAATGCTGTCCATAATGACACCAGTCTCCATTTCTGTGGCATACAAGGGGCGGCTTAACATTCAAGATATCGGATGAGAGACTTCGGTTCCTGGCTGCGAGAGTGTCTCAGAGCCTACATCCACTGCTGTGAGACACGGTCACCGTTGTATGGTTGCTGTAGTAGACCAGAGTCCCGTTGTTTCAATTAATTACTAACCCCACCCATCCGAATCCGATCGACATGGCCACTCCAGCAAGGAGGCCACAAGCCATGCAGAAAATAGTTGGTCAGCGGAACACCGGGAATGTTATAGAGTAATTAGCGAGACAGAATGCTGATTCTTCAATGATGAGCTGGCTGTCTCAGTGTAGGGCAGATCCAACCTCTTTACCGTGTCATAACCCCTACGATTTTAGGTTGCGGTCGACGACCGTCATTGCGGGACTAGTGACCTTAGACTAAGTGAGTCCACCAGAGCTTATGGCATTTGGCCCATGCAAAACCCGTGTTCGAGTTGTCCGCCCGAACATAATGAATACATTGGGTTGGGAATTTATATAGCTACTGTGGTGGCACCAACCCGATGAGTTTGGGCATTGTTGCCTAGGCCAGTGTTCAGGCAGAAGAATGTTACTGCTGAACTAACGAGCGTCCATCTGTCATGTATTTCCACATATGTGTGACTACTATTCGCATGTTTCGGGGCACTTTCGACGCAGCTATGCATGGTCAGCTACCTCGGTTTGGCAACTGTAATGCCACTTTCGAGCCATTGGGTTTAACGTGCATCCATTGTTTCCTCGCCTACTGACCGTAAGTTCATGGATATAAACTGCTGCGGTGGTCTCGTCGGAATTCCTAGGCTGAAGAACCTAGTTCCAAAAGGGTTGAAAAAGTCGGTACTGAGAGCGTTCAGTGTGTAGTGGAAATAAATCATCCAAGGCGATTCATGTACTTCGGTATGCAGTTCATTACTGAATCAGTGAACGAACTTTGACCTACCGCCGAAAACCTAGGTCCACAATTCATCGAATAATCAGAGTATCTAATTAACCAAGATAGCTATTTTTCTCATTCGTTGCCCTTCCATTCATGCGTTGTTTTCACATGAAATTAATGTAGTTGACCTTATCAGCACAAACTGCTTGGTTCTGCGGCCTGACTGCCTTTCGGTAGCCAATGAGTCATTGAAAACTTTTGGGTCGAAGCGGCTGGATGCCGAATAGCACATTAACCAATACTCTGAGAGAAAGAACATCACCATCAATGACAGAAACAACAGACGAGAACATTGATGCTTCACGGTAGTACTTAGGGACAGAACGGTCACTTGTTTATCTCTTACTACCAGCCGAACCCCTACAAGTGAAACGGTGAATATTACTGATGAAGCACGCGAGTAGCGTATGGATGGAATGTGAAGTTCATTACGGAAATTGTGGAACAGCTTTGCAGTATTCTTTTACTGTTGTGTAATAGACGATGAATATCCAGGAAACTTCAATAGGACCCATGGGAATGTTGTCTTTGAAAACCATGTGCATATGAGATATTTACTTTCGTGTCTAGTACCTTGTAACCGCTCAGTTCGTCTTTGCAATCAAATGGATTCGCAGCGAAGGACTTTCCTCCTTTCATTTGGTGCCGTGACCAGAATATGGAAGGTCCCGTGGCCACAAAATTTTGAGGATGAAGATGTGCGGACTTTTCTGGAGGACTTCGAGGATGTTGCAGAGACGGCTGGACTAGAGATTGGCCAGGGTAATTTGAAGGCACCAAAGACCCGCCTCAGGGACCGGACGAAGGCGGCCCAGGATGTGGCCAGAAGGGGTCCTGGGAAGATTGAGTGGGCCGCCGCGAAGAAATCTCTTGCAGCAGGGTTCAACATACCGGCTGACCGTCAAAGGGCTATGAGGTTGTCCAAGGCGACCAGGATGCGACCCGACGGTGTTCGCCAACCTGCAGCACCCCTTGGGTCATGCCTTGAGCGGACTGGACGGAGTGTCGCGCCAGCAGTTGCTCTCTGACCAAATGACCAGTTGAGTGTGAAAGAGCTCGTACAAGTGGCATGGGAATCGGCCGATGCACTACTGGCCACGTTGCTGTCACAGAATAGGGATAATTCACAAGTGGATAACCTGCAGACCAAAGTGGACTGACTAGCGGAACAGCCCGCTGTCATGAAGACGGAATCGCGGAGGCACGCTCGAACAAGCCAATACTACAACTATGGCATACTATTCACTGGAAGAATCAGTATAACAGTAACCGACCACCTGTTGATAATAACGCTATCGATTATTCCTCTTTTTCCGGGTGGGTTGCGATTAGTGCTGTGACACAGGCTACGATACAGGCCGTTATCGAAATAGACGGGAACAGGGAGATATGGCTAACTGAAATAGGGGAAGTGGTGTCACTGGGGCAGAGGGAACGAAGCTGAATGCAAACCGTGTGCACTAGCCATCAAGGCGGTGGATGGATATCGACTGAAAATTGACGGATTATCAATGCACTCAATGCGCCTTGGCAACAGGTCGGTGAAGCACGAGTTCCTGATCAGCCCATACATAGAGCGTATAATTTTGCGAGCAGATTTTCTCAAGGGCGCAGAATCCGTGGTGGACTTGAAGGGGGGAATAATGGTGACAAAATATGACTCTGTCAAGCTTGGAGGTTACCCAAACACTGCCACGAGAGATTGTGGTTGTGAAGAAGGCGAACGGAAAATACCAATTTTGCGTGGATTTCCGGCAGTTCAATGAACTGACCGTAAATCGGGTTTTACCTGTCCCTCCGCTTGCGGAGAATTTCGATTTGCTCCAGCATTCCCGATATTTCACGGTCTTCAACTCGCGCTCCGGATACTGGCAACTACCTATCAAGTTGGAGAACCGGGAGAAAACGGCGTTCATGTTTGGGGACTCCTAATATCAATTTAGGCGGGCGCCGTTTGGTTTGTCGGGGGTAACATTAACATTCCGGCGCTTGATGCCAATGAGGAGACAACGGAATGTTGTCGTGTACGGAGACAATATTTTTGCGTACGGTAATTCGGAACCAGAGCATTAAGTTCACTTGAAAGCTATTTTGGTTGGCCTGCGGGTAAATGAAGCCAAGACACACCTTGCTCGAAACTCGGTGAGACTGCTCAGGCATAAATTGAGTCCCAGAGAGATTAGTCCACTGCTAGAAGAACTAGTAAAGATTCAGGATTATACAGTCTTCAATTTAAAACGGTCCCTATGACAGTTTCTCGGACGAGCAGCATACTACAGTCGGTTTGTCAAGGATTTCAACCCGGTTGATGCTCCATTCTACGACTTGCTGTGTCAAAAGCGGAAGTTCGAATAGATAAGAGAAGCGCATGAGGCCTTTGAACGTTCAACTCGCAGATGCTGGAACAGCAATTAATACCCAAACTGTCCAGGGTCGGGGAGATGTTTTCTGTTGCAACGGACGCTAATGATCGCGGTATCAGCGCAGTCCTAAATCAGGGAAATGGGGTCATCGAATATGCCCGTCGTGTCCTGATTCAAGCTGAGAAGTGCTCAACCATAGAGAGAGAATGTTTAGTGATCGCCTGTGTCCTGAATAATTGGAGGTCATCCTTACTAGGACAAAGATTTCACGTCGAAACCGATCACAAAACCCTTGAGTGGATTAGGACCATCAGAGATCCTGGCGGAAAGCTCGCGCCCTGGGACGGAAGCTGACCATCGAATGCCATGAGATGGCACACAAAGAGTACACCAAGACACACGATTTATCTCGTCAGGTGGCCTACAAGCGAGGGAAGAGTTATTGGATTGTGTGGTGGCCTGTAAGTGGTGGCAACTGGTGAACGGGAAACAACAGGGGCAACTCGACCCATGGAACCTATCCCTGTATCAGAGATAAGCGACGTATGATCTGTTGAGGTCAGGTGACAACCAGTGGAAACTAATATATAGGGATATTGACAGCACACTTATCGCGGTGGGTCGAGGCGGCAGCGATGACGATCAGTGGGGTGGTCACGCACATAGTGGCCAAACCACAGGTACCGAAAATGATCCTACGGATCAAGGGTCGTGCTTTGAGAGTGAAGAGCTTGGGGAAGCTTGCTTGCAGAAGCTGGACATCAAGCGGCTATAGACGACACCCTATCACCCGCAAACAAAGGGCCGAACCAAACGATTAAGGAGTGCTGGCGGCCAACGGAGATAACTAGGAATTGAACTCTCCGATGTTGTTAGCACATCGTGCGTCGATCCAGTCAACTACAGACAAGTCCCCCATCATATTAGTGTGCGGTCGACGTCCACGCCTTCCGATTGGGCAGGAAGTTGGGTTGTGGCCGACAACCTAGGAGATACGAGGAGAACCGTTCGGGAGAGGACTACACAGAAAACAGCAGGTAGGAAGTCATCACTACTCCCCACAGGCGCGAAGGTCAAATGGAAGGATCATCAGAATCCTGGAAGGATTAGACTGGAGCCGTTGAAGTTGGGTAGTCGGTAGCACAGCCCGTTTATCGTTACCGGCTGTCGAGGGGACGTTTACATAATCCAGGACGGTCGAGGACAGGAAAGAGTAGAAAGTACCCAGCTTCGGAAATGGCACGAAACACCCTAAGAGGTGCTGAATAGACCAGCTGCTGAGGCCGACATAACGGAGGCAAATGGAGCATCGGTGGGATGCGCACGAACTTTGCAGGGGAAAGGTGTGTAATGGTGTATGAAGCACGCTCTCCTCCTTCCATCAGTATGGCTTGAACATTATCTAAAATATCACTGTCAGTTAACTTCACTGTTACCCTCCATACTGGGATCCCCGATTCGGGTGGAAGGGAATCCAATGTCAACATAGATGAGAAAAATCACGCAGGCAATCGAGGTCTGTTTTTACTGTTTCTTGCTGAGCAAAGCAACCGACTGTGTTTGGAAGAGCTTGTAGATTACTTATTTGTCGATCGAAAAAAATTCACGAGTGACCGAACATCATCCCCGGATTCGAACCACACAAAAGTTTTGCAAGGCACCATTTCTCTTGCCCTGTGCGCCCACGGTGTATGCTGCCGAAATTGTGCTTGTTTATGGTTATCAAAGTTTAAAGGCTCACTTAACATTGCAGGTTGGGTTGGTTCTAGAACGAATGTTTCTTGATATTTGGAAATGGATATTTTTGGCGCGGCCCACCTGATCTCCTCAATGCCTGAGCGGAGAAGTGCCACTAGTCCGGAGGTGCACGTCAAAGCAAACTGGTTGGTACATGAAAAGAAAAGAAAGCCTTCAGCTGTAGCACCCTTTCGGTGCCTAGCTGCCATGCCACCCGAAGGAAGCACGAGGGCTGGGATACTGTCAGGTTGCCCAAGCCTAGACAGGGGAAGTCGAGTGGCGGAGGTCGGATTCGAACCACGGCCCTTCCGGTCAGTAAATTCGCGCTCTAACCACTTGGGCCATCTCGCCCATAGTACATGAGGTGAGTTGAAAAACGTCTAGTAACGTCGTTTGGGGTTTCTCACTCCTTTGGTCTCGTTGTTAAAAGTACCCTCGTCAGGGTCTCCATTCATATGTAACCTCCTCTATACACAGAGGTGATGTATTTCAAAATCGATATCTGGTGGTGATGAAAAAAAAAAGAAATCTTGCGGATTATCCGAGATTTATTCCACAAATGTCAGCGAATCGGTTTGCGTCTTGGGTTTAGGCCCACTGCAGAGGTTTTACAAGCCTTGTTCACCTATTCCTACGCAAACGGACGGAAAAAAGATGCACTTGGATTCGCTCTTAATTCTCCGAGCATCGTCATCATCTGAACCCAGCTTGTTCGCGATGAAACGGTGCGTACGTACATACCTGCAAACGGATTAAAACGGCTAGGGCGGTAATATGGGTGCTTGAGGCGTAATACACACGCGGAGACATCGTCCACCAAGAAAAACGGTTGCCGTTCGAAGTTGTTGCTGGCGGTGAGGCAACATGAAATGAAGGTGGACACATTCAGGCATTGTGGGATAATCGCCACTTTATGACACGGGCTCTTTCTTTTTCACTGCATTTGGTTGACAGCTATCCGAGACATGACAGGTAGCCGACCTCAGTGGTGACATATCATTCCTGGATGAAATGTCCAGTTAACGCTTGCTTCGCGAGCTGGGATCATGCTGAGTAAAATTCACTGCAGCGGTCCAACTAGTGATCTCATACTCTGACATGATGTTCAGGTATAGGCACATTGGTCTATATCGCTTTCCACAATAAAGCTAGGCTCTAATCTACTAAATCCTATCCTTTCCCTCTTTATTAGTGCGCCTTCTGCTTACCGTCGGATGCCAGAAATTGACAAATGTCCACCTAAAATCAGAGGGTAACTCATTAAAACAAAAGAGTGATGCGAGAATAATACAAGATAGCTAACTATAACAGAACTGCTACTGCCTGAAACGAGATCAGCTTTGGAGAGGAAGAACTCGAGCTGAATGGTGTTCTTTGAAATGTAAATTTAATTCCACTCAGTAAAGACAATTCAAGGGACTGAGCTGGAATTTATCCAGAAGCTTGCACCGGTTCTGAGTAACTTATAAACCACCGGTGCGTTGGTCTGAGTTGTCCAGAGACTCCATTTAGCCTTATAGACGTAGTCTTTTTGCTACGCTTTTCTACAACTAACTGGGTCCATGTCCTCTCTGAGAAAAAAATTGTTCCCGAAGAAAAAATCCTGTGCACCCCACAGAAATTAAATCCTCAAGATGCCAAAAAACCCACAGGAATCTGGCGGTGAATGCCTGCTGTAAACACTTGTCATGTCTCTGTATGCCATTCTTTCTCACGTCTTCGTGTGCGGTAACCAATGGATAGCATTAACAAGATATGCAAGAATTATTTGAGGTTGCCGCCTAGAGATCTAGCTGTGAGTTTACGCCAGCCAATGATAAAAATGACATCAACATTACCAGTTCGTCCCAGAACTATTTATAGTGTCAAATTATGCGCTCAAATGATTTAGTAAATTGGAAGGTATAACCGGAGCAAATTCAGGTTCAAACATTGAGCCACTAGACGAAACATATAAGACAAGAGCATGGATGAGAGAGATGAGATTCCAGCCCTGAAATCAGAGGTGTCGATTCCGTTGTGGTCAAACAATATTTGAAAACCGGGAGAAAAGCTGCATAATAGGATGCACCTTTGTAACCAAGGCTGGACAGTGCCCGTTTGAAAAATAATGTGCGTGGGGCTGGCTGAATGAAAACCATTTACGGTGTTGGATTATTGTCCCTAGGACGCTCTGTTCTCCTCACGGACTCGTCCTTCCAGAAGAGTGAGACGCTGCTCCAGTAAGGAGACTGTCTGGAAAGGAAGTACACATTCATCAGAGAATGTAAATCACATTTAACTTTTGAAAAGCTTAGTTTAGAGAAAGTGAAGATGCAGTTATCCTGAATGGAATTTCTCACACCTATAAACCTGATAGGGCAACCATGAACAGTAAATGCAACTGAGTTACCCGCAGGTTCGCAAGGTCACAAAACGCTCGTCCACTTCGAGATTACTACACTGAAAGTTGGACAACGGCTAAGAAAAGATAAACAAGTGAAACCGAGACACCACAATATATAGTCGTGAAATGAAACTGAGCTGCTGCTGGCTGAGTTTGACTGTGTGAGTGCTGAATTAATGAGTCAGCTGGTCGATCCCAAGACGTAGGACAGATGGAACTAAGACCACACCCTTGAGATTTCATTCGGTAAAATTCCAAGCCCAAGGTATTGGCAAAACCTTTTGTGCTAATTAGGGAAAGTCTACAATAAACAACACATCTATTTAGGAGATTAGAGCTGACAGCCTAAGATCAAAACACAACCTGGAAAAGCTGTCCATGGTTAGCCTAATGTTTAACAACAAATAAAACAAAAGACTATCGATCCAGTTCGCTCCAGACGATTGTGTTCCTGGATCAAAAGCTAGAAATCAAGGGGAAAAAGGGGAAACGTTGAAGAGTAATTCACTTACCTGTGTCAGGACGTCAATCTGAGACAAAATATGTTCAACGGCTGTTGTCAATGTGGGTGGAATGTTCTGTTCATTATTGGCATGTATTCCGTCGGATTTGGACTACAAAACGGGAAAATCAGAACGAGTAGTGACTGGGGTCCGAAAGTATGTACACTAAGAAGGAAAACATTCGCACTTATAATACCAACCAAGCACTCGCGCTTTTTTCAGGGTCTGAATACCTTTCCCAAACCTTAAAAGCTAAACTTATCCCGGGCTACAAATTACTAACCTGATATGTAATCAGATTGTTGGGTTGATGTACATAAACCAAACGATCTGTAGCACAGGTAGGCTGTTGTTATTCGTCAACTATATGGCTACAAAACGATACAAGGAAGTGTTGCTGACCCTTATGCGGAAGCGGCTAGAAAAGCGAAAATTAATAATGCGTAGAGAAAAGTTCCGCCTCAGTCCAACCTCGTGAAGGCGAAATCCGATTCAGTAGGAGTACCAACGTTGGAGAACAGCAAAACAACTTATGCCATTAAGCATAGATCCTGAACCTCGTTTAAGCGCTCGCCGGTCTTTGATGTCGATAAAGCTCTGTAAGATGGATGTAAAATGAAGCTGGATTGTACAGTAAGAACTCCTCGTAGCCAAATCCACACCCTCTCTATCGCCCTTTACCGGTCCTTCGATTTCCAATTTTGTATGAAGGTGCTCTTTATGTGACCCCTTTGGTCTACCCCATCGAATTTATGTTGACGCTTGTTGAGTGAGCTGTCAGCTTCCCCGGGGCGACATACAGGACAAATGCACCCACATACTAAGTGCATTTTTTATAAAATGAAAGAATCAACAGTGGGTGTGTTATAAGATACAGTTGAAATCATCAAAAGGTACCAGATAACGATATGCCCCTGTTTTCAGCCAGGCACACCAGCGAATGATGGTAGTTTGCGATATGGGAATTTTCAGTGACCGCTTCAGAAAGGTTGTGATACATAAACGATACGCTTCAACTAAAAACCACATATGCATTGAGTACCTACGCTCAAAACACGAATTCGCACATCTCTCCATAGAAAGGGCAACTATTACTGCAGATTTCGTAAAATTGGGAGACACTGCATACGGGCGAATGGACTGTAAACTTAAACTGACCGTCAAAAGAAGAAATAAGATACGAAATATCCACACTGGCACCAGGAACAGTCTGTACCCAGCCCTATTTGAAGAAGGTGAAGAATCTTTGATGACCGATCTAACAAAGCCTGTGATGCGATGTGGGGCAGAATGTGGCATGTCGACAGTTATTCCCGTCTTCAAAATGGGTACGTGCTTTGTGAAAGAAAACCACCGTGGCATCAGCCTGGTAACTGTGGCATCGAAGGTGCTCTGGGGGAATGACTAAGTTACTATGAAATTTTTTGGATTTCTAGGATGAAAATCACACGTCTCTTTTCCCTTTTCGTCCTCTCCACACAAAAATATTCAGATACACTACACTACTTACAAAGCAGTTAGGCTTGTGTGCTCTACACTAGTTAAGGTTACCCTTGGAAATCGCAAGGGACATCCAAAGGCTGTCGGTGTATGACCATCGGTGTCTGACCGATCTAACAAAGCCTGTGATGCGATGTGGGGCAGAATGTGGCATGTCGACAGTTATTCCCGTCTTCAAAATGGGTACGTGAACGCTTTGTGAAAACCACCGTGGCATCAGCCTGGTAACTGTGGCATCGAAGGTGCTCTGGGGGAATGACTAAGTTACTATGAAATTTTTTGGATTTCTAGGATGAAAATCACACGTCTCTTTTCCCTTTTCGTCCTCTCCACACAAAAATATTCAGATACACTACACTACTTACAAAGCAGTTAGGCTTGTGTGCTCTACACTAGTTAAGGTTACCCTTGGAAATCGCAAGGGACATCCAAAGGCTGTCGGTGTATGACCATCGGTGTCTCCAAAGCATTGGTCGGAACGTCGGTGGGAACATCGGATTAGCAATGCTGAGCTACGCCAGATAAAAGATGATAAGGATTAGCAATGCTGAGCTACGCCAGATAATTGTAAGAAAAAGAAGCACCCCAAATGGATGAATTACTGACGCCTCATAGGTTGTCCTGGTTAGAACATGTACTCCACATACCATAAGACCGTCTGCCTGGCAGAACCTATTTCACCCAGCACTTTTCTGATCGGAAGCGACCGATATTTGGACAGTAACGTCCCGGCAACGAAGCCAGTAAACTCAATTGGGTCGACAACTGCCACCTTTCTGGGTGGAGACTCAGAGCTCAACGTACCAGTGGTTAGTGAGGCTGGCAGTTAGGCCCAAACACGCAGCCAGTTGCGTTCATACATTAAAGCTATAGCCTTCAGTGTGTAGCTTCCCAGTAACTGAATAATTGATCGCCTCCAATGCTCGACTGTATCTCTACGCTCACCCATTTTCCGCAGATCGACTTTTTAGGAACTGGAAGAAGCGTATCCTTGGTGCATGGCTTATACCTGATAAATCAAACCGATATCAATAGCGTTCAAGGTGCATGGTTTGAAGGAAACTTCTGAAGGGTTGTTTGGAATTGCAAGCACCTCGGAATATATGTTATCATCAGTGCTAGCCCCCTATTTTTGATCGCCATTACTGGTTACTATGGATATAGGACAGCTCAACAATGACGTTGCTGCGACTGCTGGAGACGTAATCCGACTGAAGTGTAGCTGTTCCGAACAAACCTAAGTGAAGATGAAAGTCATGCAATGCAAGACAAATGAAACAATAAATCGCTGTTTTCTAGGTCAGTTCCTGAATACTCAGATGAATGGAACACCTCATTCATTACACCATCATTTAAAAAGGAAACCTGGAGGCTCACCATCTGAGCAACATTTGCAGTAGAGGACAAGGATAAATGACCTGGCATCGATTGACCGTGTGAACGGGGCGCATGATGACACTCCACCGAATGCCTTGGTAAGGCATCCTCGGCATTTTGGGAGTCTGAAGTCCGAGCGGAAACTGAGGCTGGAACTAAAGGTTCCCGGAATTCATTACTCGACCCCACAGAATTAGGTGATTTTTTGGGTGTACACTGATGAGCGTGACCGTCGCCAGAAAAGTTCCGACCGTTTTTGGCAGAACACACTTCCTTCGTAGGAAATTCCTCCAGATGAGTATCAAAATTGGTGCGCCATAAGAACACCTGTGGATGACAGATGACAAAACATTCGGAATACTTGCCAAATGCCATCAAACTTCAAGCAAACTTTAAGGCTTTAAGCAAGGTAAATACGACTTGTAAGCCAATGATGACCTGAAAGAAAATTGTCTAAGTGACCATACAGCCAAGACAATCCGCGACATAGAAACAGTATAAAAATATGGCTGGGTCAGTGCGATCATCCACCTCAAACAGACTAGACCCCATCGCTGTGTGACGGTTTGCCGGCCTCGGTAGCCTACAGAGCTGCATTGGGGGGTGCTAATGCAGCATCAACAGACTTTCAATTGCCAGGTTGGTCAGAACTCGGACAAACAATATCTTAGCCTTCAAGGTGGGGGGGGTTGGAAAAAGCGTGACAATTTGTTCCCTAAATTTGGGCAATTCACGTAGTTGCGAGCCAACAATCGCTGCACCGCGGAAGGCCTTTGAGCCAAAGGCTCTGGCCGAGGAAACTAATCGTTTCTTCTGTCTAGGTCTGGGCGCCCTAGTAGTGGAATCATGAATTGCACACAAACAAATAAACTCACACGTGGTACCACCAGCCGGGTCACCTTACGTGCTGCATACCGCAGGGCGGGTAAGCGAAAACAGGCTACTGATGACGCTCCCCTCCTTTCTTCTTCACCCACCTTTTCTTCCCCCTCCCCACCCGATTAATAACCCTCCTTGTAGGCCCAGTCGTTAGGACTGGTGACTCCGTTCGTTCTGCATCGGTTTCTCAGGCAACATCTGCGCGTCATCTAGCAGCTCGAAATCAAACTTCGAGCCTCGACGCCCAGTCTACCTGGCTGCCTTCAATATCCACACTCTGAGGCAAGCAGGTTAACAAGCTGCCCTTGCTCTCACAGTAGACTCGCTCAGCATTGTATGCTGTGCAGCAGGATGCAAGCACAGTGGATGAGCTAACCGCCCCATCACTCCCTACCCGCTTCGGGCTGCGCACCTCCGGCGATCCAGAGGCTGCTACGGCAGAATGTGCAAGGGTTTGTGTCGTCCTGAGTCAACGGACCAAAGGATCTTTGTTTGACTGGATGCCCGTTGATAGTAGATTCTGTGCAGTTTGTCTGACGACATCTGTGAAGGACTCTCACAATCGGGAAGTTGATCTGTGTCTGTTTGTTGTGTCTACTTAAGCCCAACTGACTGTAGCTCTAACAACATCAAAGACAGGCGTTATGACATCTTGAATATCCTGTCGCGCCGAGCGACAGGATGCGACAGATATGCACAAGTAGGTAGGCTTGGCGCATCTAAGACTGGATTAGGTAGTCGACATGGATTGGACAATGGATTGCTTAAACTATGTGCTGACCGCAGGTTGCTGTTATACATTACTAACTTCTGAAATATGCGAAGTAACCTGGCCACACGGTATGCTCATGAACCATGAACACGAATTAATCACATCGCCACGAACTATGATGGCGCGGATCAATAACTCACTGCTGCTCGTTTTGGAACACATAGGTGCATTCCGACTACGCGCCTGTCCGGAGTCGCTTCTCACTCCGTTTTCCAGGGCCGCGTTAGGTGCGGACAAATCGCTTGGCGACTGAGAGACAGGCAGATCTGGATACTAGGCGAATATACTAGAATCGTCTTCTGGAGTCTCTTCCAACAAATTCACCATCAGATGTGAACTCATGCTGGAACACGACCGCCACATGTTTGCACAAGGCTGGAAGTTTCGTCTGTGGCACTGTGCTACCAGGCCCATTCAAACACTGGATATCAGACCAAACATTGGCACTGTTTGAAACTCGGAGAAATGTCTATTTCGATCCCGAATACCATTCGGCCCGGCGAGTTGTCAGACGTCAAGTGAAAGCGAGCGTGCACGCCAACCGTGAAGCCTAATGAACTAGGAAAGCTAAGGAAATAGAAGAAACCGAGATAGCCGAGAATTCCCGAAGAGTATTTCATTTGATCCGCGCGGTCGGTTCCCGGAAGCCCCCTGCAAGCGAAACCACCAAGAATCAAAGTGGTGCGATCATTTTCACCATCATTCGCACCAATGGGCCAGGTACTTTGAACAATAAATCTCGTGGCCACCCACTGCCACTAAGCTGGATCCTCCAGGCAAAGTACAACACTGGACAACGAACATGGAATCCTTACGACGTCGGAGGTTTATGACTTCATATCTTTTGTCAAGTACCACTGAGATGTGTTTGCAATGGTTCGGCGAAAGGACGGAGAAGGGACCCGAATGAAGCATTATGAAAGGGTAATGCTGGCGAAAAATCTGCTGGTTACAGCTGGAACTGGATCAACTTTGGCATAAAACGGTTACAAGTGAAAAGTTTGCCTAAAACAGCAGAGCTTGTATCGAAAGTTTGAGCCCAGATGATTTCATCTGATATATATATGTATATATATATATATATATATATATATATAGTACTTCGTCGGTCACAGCTTAGGGAGGGTGCTCCGCATTAGGGACACTCCGTGGATATCCCCTCCCCCGTATACAAAACCAGTGGTGGCGAAAGAGGCTAGGTGAGGAAAGTTAACTCTAAATACTAGACAATGGTGCATATTCTTGGTCCAGATAGGTGAGAATTCAATGGCCTGGAACTTAACGATCTCAGTTCGTAGAAGTTAACCTCAACCTATTCGACTTTCCACCCACTTTGGCGTAGTGTAGTTACCTCCTTCCCATAGAAAGACTGTTAGTACTCTGAGAGCCATCAAAACATGTTCCTTTAAGAGACTCCTGTACAGGGACAGACCTTTTACCAAGTGTGAAATATGAATCCGCATATGATCTTGAAGACTTGTTGGCGTGGTTCTCTGAAGCTCATCAGAGCGTGACCAGTGTGCTAAGAAATCGTTCAGAGACATGCTGTCACTCCAGCAATTGCGTTGTGCTGGAGAAAAAATTCGTTTGCGTAAGAACACGCACAAAATCAGTTTGGTCCTTATGAGACGTCTAGACCGTCAGTTGTTCGAAAGTTTCAGTTTATAGCAGTTCTGATGAAGGAAATGGTGAACTGGAAGCGCCAGTGAGACAGGGAGCTTTAAAGCTGACGAGTGAAGTAGAAATTAGACAGTTAGACTCTGGAGAGAACACTTAGCAAACACGGAGCATGTGACAAATACCCAGATGTAGGGAATCACAACAATGAATAAATGAAGACTACGGCACACATGGAAAAAGTTGTACAAGGCCTAGGTTTGACGCATGTAGGTCACTATAAATGAGGACATAATATGAAGAAAGAACGAGCTTTGAGGATAACCGAATGGTTGAGATGGATACTTCTTTGTCCTAAATCCCCAAAGTTCGAACTATCCGGTGATCCATGAAGTAGCTGGTCTGCGAAGTAGTTCATTGATAATCTCGATGGCAATGGATAAGATCGCTTGGAGCTCATCGGTGAGCCTACCAAACGACAGCATGCTTAGAATATTGGATAGTTGGTCCTCATGTGACAGATGTAAGTACTACATTTCGGTCGTCGTCCCCCAAAGGACTGTAGTATCCATACACTGTCTAGCTGCCTCGCGATCAAAAACAAGAATTACAAGCTTGAAAAAAGCCGCATGATGCTGGTAACCTCGTATATGCCAAACTTCACGGAGTACGCCTGTCTGTTGTATTACAGGGAGGAACAAGTTGCAATAGACTGCGCGAGTAAGTTACACTGAGACAAAAAGACAATCCAGAATTGCTCACCTGGGCATCATTTCCACCTGAGGCAAAGTGATCACCCGAGCGAGAAAAGTTAACCGCTGTTACTGGCCCAGTGTGTCCCTGCAGTGTATACAGTGCTCGACCTTCCAATAGGTCGAATATTTTCAAAGTAGCATCATCAGAGGCAGAAATAAGGAAATGTCCGTTCGGATGACAGCTTATCTTGTTCACAGGAGCCGCATGTGCTGAACGTGTAGAAAGTGAAACATAAATAGCAATGAGCAAAAGGGTAACTCCCAGAAAATGGATGAAATCGACATTCAAATAATGAACTGGCTATCGACTGGATGTAGGGGTTGTTACCTAGACGAAGCTATAATGTGTTCTTCCATTTTCAGGATGTAAGTGTTGACAAGCAAAGGAAACATTATGACTAACTCAAACCCTAACAATGACCAAGGTGATAAGTCTCACGGTCAGAAAAACAAAGGAGGTTCTGCTACATGACTTTTTTGAAGGCCTTTTCAGTACATAAAAGCTATTGCGCTTTGGACCTCTTCAGGATCCCATCAGCTGTGTTTATCCTTGTTTGGTTGGCGAAACTGTGGAAGTTCGTGCTGTGTCAGTAGACAAGTCTACATCTGAAGTACTGTAGAAGGATGTGGAGTTGCATGGGTGAGCATCATTGCCACTGTATATTTGGGCCTTCTAGGTAATACGGACAACAGCAGTTGACCATGGTCTTTGGACTTACATTATCCCACGTAATCTCATGGATCTGTACGGCGTCAAGTAGGAGTAATTCACTATACTGACCGGAACATGCCAGTGATCGATCCAGGCATGAATTCTTTCCGTGAGAAAATTCGAGCTAGTTAATAGTCCAAGTATGAGGTGGTTCAGACCATATTTGGCGCTAGCTGTTCGACTGCCGCCTTCCATCAACTAATATTATGTCACCCGGATTTAAACTGAACGTCCACTCCAACATAAGTATGGGCCGGCTGCATAACGGAAATTGAATGCGCCGAAGCGATTCAATGAACTTAGAAAAAGAAAAAAAAGATGAGTCTACTGCGCACCTGCAGAAACCTCTAAATTGACGTTGATGCAACAATGGCCAAAATCTTCTGTGCATGTTCACCACTTCAGTATAATCCCGAGACATTGCTAAATTAATTGCAGGACGATGTGGCGGAGCAGATGAAATCCATTAAATAGATCAACAACGCAGTTACTCTCGCTACGACAACCATTATATCAGAACGTCACGTACATAAGCATATAGTTTGCGTGAAGGAATGGACGATAGTTGGTGACGCAGGAATAAGAACAGAGTAAAGGTATGAATTAGCGTGCAGCCAAACCAAGAGATTAGACGATTGTAGATATCTGCGCCGCGCTCCTGTCCAAACTAAGAATGCAAAAATGCAGCATCAATGTCCATCCACAAATACAACAAATATGACAACAGAGCATGAGTTCGAGAATGGTGTTGCTGATGGCAACCTCAGTGTTACGCTGGTCGAATAACGCCTCCTGAAATCAGTCCAACTGAGTCATAAAGAGGAAAACATTTCTGTCCTACATATACGCAGCATATCCCGGGCAGCTCGCTTTTATGAAAGAGGTAACCGAATTCCAGGCCGTGGAAAAAACCCAACCAGCGTAAAGAATATGCGAGATGCGAAGGCGTTCTCCACAATCCGGATGCCCCTAAAGTGTGTTTGTAATGTACTGATACTTATATGGCGTGGGGTCGAGAGAGATCGTCATCATTATCAGGAACATCAGTCCTGGACACCTCAAACTTAATCGCTCACATCACTTACATAACATAACGGATCTAAAAATGGTTACGGTGCAGTGAGGAAAGGATTATCGTTAACCAGTGAAAGAACATCTTCCGTTTGAATCCCTCTTGCTTACCATCATAGTGTTGTAGTAAACGGTTCATCCTCAAATCCCAAAGCTTTACGGAGGAGTTCGTGCCTCCGGAGGCAAAACAGTTGCCACTGGGATGAAAATCAAGATGCGAAGCAAATCCCCCTGATTCATAGAACGTATGCACACAGGTTTGATTCTCACAGTCCCACAATTTGATAGTTTTATCATCTGAAGAGGATATTATCAATCTCCCGTCAGGAGAAAATCTGCAGTTGAAGCTTGAGACAACTCCAATGAATTACCGACAACAGCGAACCCAATTGACGTGTTGATTCAACGAGAACAAAAACTTTTGACGGTGGAGATTCCAAACCTAAAGCGATTAACTGATGAAAATGCGCAGTAATACCTTGACTGATTTGTCTGCTGAAGCGGTGCACATTCGTAAGTCATCAGACGATAAGTCCACCCACCGAATCGCAGCGGTATGGGCGCGGAAAGTGATAGACTCTCCTTTGCTTGGTTGTAACAATCAGAAATGACATTGCTTACATGCTAGGCACCCACAACTTGATCGTTTTATCTCTCGATGCAGTAACAACCAACTGACCGCTCGGGGAGAAGCGCGCACAGAAGATGGCGTCGCTATGACCAAGGAATCGGTAGGCTCGAGTTTGGGGTTTGATATTCCAGACCATCAGACATGAGTCCATGGAGGAAGACACTAGTATTTGTTTAGTTCAAAAATTCCCCAATCACACGTACCGAGTTGCTTTCCATTCGGATTAAAATCAACGCAAGTGATAGCATCGCGATGTCCCTTGAAGTGTATCTGTAGTGTTGGATCATCCTAAGTGGTCATCTAGTTCGAAGCTAGGTCACGTAACATACCACGGACATTTTGAAACCAGAAAAGGATGCTTAAAATATTTTATTGCAGCAAAGTCGTAGAATAGCACTGACAGAAGGATTCCACCTGCAATCAGAAAAGAAAATACAATTGAAAAACGGAAAGGAGTTCAGTGAGTGACACTTAAAACTACTATAACGGTCTCATCGTTCGTCGAGAGGACACTAGTCACAGGGTTATTGGAAACTTTTCAGTCACTCACTACTGGTTTCGTTTCTCTTGGGTCTCACCAGGTACAGTCCTCGAATCTCAGCTAAGCAGCTCGACACTTTGTCTCTAGAATAGCTGTCAATGCTTTGCGTGGCGCTGGTTGTGAGCGGATGGCCCTAAAGTACTGCGTAAACAGGTCCTCCTAAAGCTGGATGCTATCCAGTGGCTGTCAATCATTTATCAAATTAATATGGATATGTGGTCTTCACAAAATTTTCATCGACCCTACCGGGTATTTTTATGCCTTTTTGCGCCTCTTATCTAGCACGAGGATTTTACACTTGTTGCCACAGGACGTCCCGTTTTCCGTCTTCTGTTAGCCCCAAAACACTTTTTCTCCTCTTCTCTTGACGCTGAACGGGTATGCCAAAAGCCACAGAGGTCAAATTGCTGAGGTAATCGTAAGAAACAGACTTGCGAAATGACTGCATATACTTAACCATATGCCCTTCAGATGGTTCGAATCATCAGCCTCCCACATCGTGTATCATAGGTAGTTGGCTTTCCAGAAGAACAGAAACGCACTCTGGCATGTCGCTTACACAATAAACGAGTCTGGTTATATAACATCGCAGCCACTCCGTTCCACTGACCTTCCTTGAGCCAGTTGCCATAAGCTGCGGCCGGTTGGACACAATGTGGATTATCGAAAGATTTCCAAGATGTTGCATCCGCAGCGTTCCGCAGCCCTCTACCATCCGCCCATGAAATGGGTCTGCGGAAATGCTGGAGATTCCTGCAATACATAAGTTGGTCAGTGCATGTGTGGGGCATTGTTCCACTACAGAAGACTGTGTACAGAAGTGAAGTGCCTGCAGCTGTTACAGCTTTGTTTACAAAGATCAAGATTGAGGTGAGAACCACGCGTTGGAGACTATGACCCGATCAGTTTATTGGCGTCAAATGGCTCTGTTTGTGCAGCACGGCTCATTGTTTAGAGCGCGAATTTCCTGACCTGAAGGCCCGTGGTTTGGAACTGACCTCAGCCTCTCGATTTCCAGTCTAGGCTTGGGAAACCTGGCAGTATCCCTTGCAATATCCTAATGTTTCCGCTGGGTGACATGGCAGCTAGATAGCGAGGTGTTACAGCTGAACGATTCATTTATTTGTCTATTTTTATCTACTCAGCGAAGGCGATAGCTTTGATGCAAGACTTCCATTCATTGTGTGATACGGCCATATCTATCAGGGTTACTGCTGACCTGTTTGCCCCGTCCTGGGGTTCTCACAAGGAGGTATGGCTGTTATCAAGTTGACTAGAATTCACGTCTCGTTTTCCAGTCATAGAATCACATCATCGGCATCAAAGATGGCAACATTAGCGTTGACACTGCCGTACAACCATAGGGTTTGTATCTAAAGCCCTAGAGTGAAGAGAAGGGAAAAAGAGTGGGTGAGAGAGGGGACTTAGTGCTGACCTAGCACATTCTGAGGTGCCTACACCTTCATGCACTCGATCAATGTGAAAAGAAACTGACTGCGCAAACACCACTGACATCGATCAACCACAATTTCTTGCAATGTCTCCAGTCAAGCACAGGGGCAGTCAAGGGGACCCCATCGTGGAAAGCGTACAACACCTACAACACCCAAACTCTTCGTGATCTCTCTCATGCCAATCTGCCAAGTCATGCGTTGTCCACCTCGCTGTTTGCGCCATCATGAAGGAGGAACAGAAAGCAACTCTAGTCTCTGTAGACGGTGTTTCGGCATGCGTGGCACATGATCGAGCCATCGTAGTCGTTGATGCTGGGTGTTTTCTCCGATTGGAGTACCTGCCGCACGACCAAATACCCAGTTTTTAATCATCTCGTTAATAACACACAGACACCACCCAAAACGACCAATGCTTTTGAGGCATCTATGGTTAAAAACCTGCCCCCACAGATCACGTCTCGCAGCCATACATCAATACAGTTTTTACTGTAGCATGGTACATGCCACACTGGTAGCCAGGGCGCGAATTTACTGACCGGAAGGTCTGTGGTTCGAACCCGACCTCTGTCTCTCGACTCCCCCTGTCTAGACTTGGGCAATCTGGCAGTATCCCAGTCCTCGTGCTTCCTTCGGGTTGCATGGCAGCTAGTCACCGGATAGACCCAAGTAAGCTAGACAGGCACTAGCTGAGGAACCCACCGCCATTCTCGAACAGAACAAGTGAGAGTTCATCAGGAAATACACTCGGACATTTCTGACAGTGAAGGCTCTATATTCAGTCCACTTTTCTGCTGACGGCCA